AGCTCTGGTGGACATCCCTGCAGTCAGCATGCCAATTGCACGCTCCCTCAAAACTTGCGACATCTGTGGCATTGTGCCTTGTGATAAAACTGCACATTCTAGATTGACCGTTTATTGTGGCCAGTCTAAGGCACACTTGTGCAATAATCATACTGTCTAACTGTGAGGTGGATGGATTATCTCAAAAAATGAGAAGTGCTCACTAACACAGATTTAGACAGATTTGTGAACAATATTTCAGAGAAATAGGCCTTTTGTGTACATAGAAAATATTTATATTATGTATACAAGGTCTGCCTGGAAACTATCCAGCCATGTAATATATTGAAGAAGATATAAGATACAAGAAACATATTACATAGTACAATGATGCCTCAGTCCTCTTTAACTAGGCACCTTGGACCTCACACATTACTCGCAGTGTCTCTTTCACTGTTTAAAACACTCTGTAAAAAGGTTGGAATTGCCATGAGTTGCCTCGTCGTATTTATCGGAATCTCATTGACAGTCTGAAATCTCTTCCCTTTCCAAGGTGATTTTAGTTTTGGGAGAAGTCAGAAGTTGCAGGGCGCAAAACAGATTCTTGACCATCTTTGAAGCATTGTCCCCGAAAGCCGCCTGAATTATCTGAATAGTTTCCGCAGAGGAAAGTTCAATCTTAATACAAAATTAGATGCAGATTCGTTGCTCTACTCACTCAGTAATTTTGAGTGCAACAATTACAGACTACACATGCTCACTCAATGGCATCTTGCGCCCCCACTGACTAGTACAGTGAAGTCGTTATTGTTCATGCATGTGCATTCCAGCCATACTCCTTGGCCTCCAGGTTACAATGATGTCTCGCAAACCATTTTCGTTCTATTAACAATGGCTGGACTTTTTCCGAACAGACCCCATATATTTTGCAGTACATTTTTTCACATGATTTTGGTTCAAATAATTCCTTTTTCCAAATCTTTTTTTGTTAAAAACAATTCAGAAGGGATGAACCATCATATGTTCAAAATATACCCTCCAAAACTTTTTAGTTACAGCAAATGGATTTAAAAAAATTATTTCCCAAGCTATTGAGGAAGGCTTCCAATCTGCAATTAGTAGAGAATGAGGGCTAGTCCAGACTCCTCAGAATCCAGTCTGGAGATGCAGTTTCTTCAGGAAGATGACTATTATGAGTCTTGGAACAAATCTATTGACTCAGGAAAGATGGATACGTTAATATACTTATACTTGGTCAGATATACCCTAAAGATTCCAGAAGAGTAGGCTGAAACAACTGCATCTGACTTCTATTTGAAGACTTAAGAGCTTCAATATCTACTTTTCCTATACATACCACCATTAGAGATCTAACCCATTCGGAATGGACAAAGCCAGAAAAAAGGCTGACATTCAATCTAAGGTGTCCAGAGGTGTTTAAATCCTGGAAGGTGGTTTTTAAGATAGATGTTACTGTCATAAGATTGGTAAGGAAAACTACACTGCCTATTGGCAGTGTGGCATTCCCCAAGGAGCCTTTGAAGAAAAGATTTGACTCAGTCCTGGTAAAAGCATATCTGGCTTGTGTGTCTGGCCTTCACCCTGTGGTGGCTCTAACTTCAGTATCCAGACCATTAAACATGTTGTTTAATAATCTACGAGAAGACATTGCTAGTGGAGTGAGTAAGAGACAATCAATCTCCAAGACTCACTAAAAGATTTCAAGTTAGCCTCAGATTTTATTACAGAAGCTTCTCTTGACATCACCGACAGATTGAAAAACCAGTCTGAAGAAAATGACAACAGCAACAAGCATGTTAGCTCATCAATACATGTGTGTACTGGGATCCTTAGCATTGTCAATAGGCCTAATCAGATAGGTCAATTGGCATGTGAGACCAGCTAAACTAAATTTCCTGAAACAATTCAGCAGAATCATCTTGAACTGGAACCAAGAGCTCATCTTTCCTCAGACTTTTAAGTTCAAACTACGGTTGAGGGATGTAAACTTGGACAGAGGTTTTTCCCTTAAGGAACCAGCGTGGGAGTCTTTTGCAACAGACATCAGCTCAATGGGGAGCTCCTTACAAAAATCTATTTGTGCAGGGACATTAGAATGCGCGAGTTTATTGAATTCCAACCTATCAGAACTCAAAGCGCTATTCAAAGCCCTTATGTCCTTTGTAGATCACCTAAGAGGAAAGTGGGAACTCGTCAAAACAGGCAACAAATCGGTAGCCACTTATATGAATCATCAGGGAGGAACAAGAAGCAAGAAGCTGTTTCTCCTAATGAAGCCCATCATGTCATGGACCATGTTCTACCTGCAAGGACTCAATGCAATGTATCTTCCTGGAAAATAAAATCTCTTAGCAGGTTACCCAAGTAGATCTCGCATAAATAACAAAGAAGTGGGGTATCCAACAAATAGACCTCATGGCGACATTTAGAAGTACTTAGAGCACCAAGCCAAAGCCCAAGACATCCTGTCAGAGAGATGGGAAATTGACCTTGCATTCATCTTCCCTCCTATTCCTCTTCTGAGAAAAATATAAAAAGAAAACAGCTAAATCATTCTCTAAATTCCACCTCCAACACAAAATAGTGCTGCATTCATTCTTTCCCAATCCTAACACTCAAAAAGAATGTTCATAGAGTAAGCGTGACATGGTGAGATGCCTCCAAATATATATTTTAAAAATCTTTTAAAATATACACTTCAGGTATACACAAATCTGTCCAAAGCGTATTTATCACAGGTTCTACCTGCTGCACTGAATCTCAAGACTCACTGCTCAAGGGGACTGGATGCTTTCTGGACTTCTAGGGAAGAGTTGCCTGTTCATGAGTTATGTAAGGCAACCACTTTGTCCTTGTGCCTCATGTTTATTAAGCACTCTTAGATTGATCTTGCTTCCTCAAAAATTATGGTTTTGGTAAAAGTATTCTGGCCTTGGTGGCTTTGCGTGAATAATAAAGTATGTTTTCTTTTTGCATCATATAAATCTCTTGTGTTTTATTTCCCCTCCCTTGCAGGGAGCTTGGGTACTACCCATAAGTAATGCTGCCATGTTTAACCAGGAAAGCAGATTATGTATACAATACTTACCCTAATTTTCTTTTCCTGGCTATATAACATGGCAGCATCATGCTCCCCCCTTCTGGGTTGGTTTCTATTCAGTTTACTAGCAGACTGAGGAGCTCAGAGAGGAGGGGGCTTTAACAGTTGTTAATTGTTTAATCAATCATTTGTATTTCTCAAGTTAGGAAGGGAGCTACCCATAAGTGATTCTGCCGTGTAATGTAGCCAGGAAAAGAAAATTATGGTAAGTATATCACAACCTTTCTGCTATTTTGTTTAGAGCACATTGTATGGGTGTGAAGGAATACCCCATCACGTTCGGCTCTTTCTGTTCATTTTGATTCATGTCCCAGTTTTGTTTAGTTTATTTTGTTCAGTTCCCAAACCAAGACCACCCCAGAGACCCATTAGAGCGTGGAACGTTATGCATTTTGTACGAAAACCACAAAGAAAATAATAGAATGATCCACTGGATGGCCATTTCATACATGCGAACGCACAAGGTTGGGAAAATGGATGGTAGTCATCTTGTCTCCGGAATGCTGGCATCGGGACCTGGTCGTCGAGTGCCTGGAACTCATTTCGGCTAGGCACTCCTGCGAACACCGATCACCATGGATCTACGGCACATTCTAGTTCCTGTTCACAAAACGGCATTTGGGAGTTACAGAATTCCAGACACAGGGAACATTCTCCACGAACCAGTTTTCCTATACCTTACAAAACCCCACAAATGGAGACCGGCTCTTGCAACAATTTCCATGGAACTATTGTGGGCTTCTACCTCGTGGCAGACCGTTCAGAACTTCCCTGTGATGGCGATCAAAAACTACTGAACGGATCTGGGTGATTTTTGCATATATTGTTCACCCAGATCCGTTCGGTAGTTTTTGATCGCCGGCAAGAGCTGGTCTCTGTTCCTGGAGTTGTTACAAAAACAACATAATGTGTAGGAAAGCTGCTTCGTGGAGAACAGGCTATCCAGGGATGTGACTTTTGTGGGGTTCCCATGTATTTTGGGGGTGCTTTTGGAGTGTTGTAATATTGTTAATTTTTTTTCTGTGTCTGGAGATAATTGAGTTCAGTACAGTTCCGGATTCAATATCTTACAGGCACAGAGGAGGAGTTTACTGACTGTATAAATTTGATGTCTGTACTGACAATGAACAGTCTTCTCCCAGCATTAAGCCTTGGGTCATGTTTGGGGGGATTATTGGTGTGTTATTATGCGAATAGGGTATCCATGGCGGTGATAACTTGACAGACCGCCACAATGGGTATTCAGTGTTGTTAGTTTTAGCAACCAATTTTTGTTAATCCCAGTCTGCTCTGCAAATTCCTGTCTGTGCAATATTTTTCTGTTCTTCTAAATACATTATTTTGTACATTTCAAAGTGAATGATGGCAACTATCACAAACCATATGTCTGTTTTTAAAAGGTAAGGTTTTAATAGAATAATTGTCTATATAGTTAATAAGGTCTTATTCCCTATGTTTTTGTATTTTATCCTTCACAAAACCTGATCATAACACACTTACTGATTGTTAGGCTTTTTTTTTCAGTTCCATTAGCTCTGCACTGGAAAATCCAGCATTTGACATGTATGCTGAATGATTGCTAATGTATTTTTGATGGGAAAGTGGAAAGCCAGCATCACCGATAATTATTGTCACCTGTTTCTTTGTTTTTAACTCCATCCTGGGGCAAAATGTGGCCAGAAACCATGCATGTTACTGAAGGCAGGATATTCAAATAGTACTACAATTCACACTTTTGCCATCAAAAGTGTCTTAACATGACCGTATGATTTTATAATCCATTTTAAAAAAAATCATTAATATTGAAAATGGTAATAAGCAAGGCGCACTTGCACAGTATTTCCTGCTAAATAAAGCATTAACATTTTATTCTGCTTTTTACACTAGAGAAAATCCTTAAGGCCATTCAATTTTGTCAGGTTGTAAATTTTTTTATATAAAGATACCACAGGCGGATCATCTCTTTAAACACTATAATAGCAAACAGCAACACAGTAGAAGACGTTACAAAATAAACTGCAAGAAGAATCATACAAAACTATATTATACATTTATAACAACCACCAAATGGAGATCTCCTGCAAATGGCAATGCCTGTATTTTATTATTGAGCTCCAAACATATAAAAATACATGTACGTAGTTTTCTGATATTAAAAGGAAATTGTCACTTTTTTTGAATTTACACATTCAGGAAAACATTGAAAATCACTGATTATGTGTGTTAACCTTTTTTGATGAGATGCTCCATTTTTTTTAAAAATATATATTAAATATTTAGTAACTGATATTATAATTCAGTTCAGACTAGGCAAATGACAAGGAGAAATAGGATCATTATTTAATTTCTCCTCTTCTCTGTATGCTTTCTCTATGCTGACTAATAAGTTCAAAGAACAAAGTTTCTTACAGTGGCGGATAGGGATCTAAGATGGAGCTGCCTAGTAACAGGATAAAAAGGTGTGGATTTTATTTTTCACAAGCTTTTTTTTTGTTAAATATTGGGTCACGTAAACACATTAGTAATCCAGGGGAGTGACAAATGTATGTTATGGCTGAGTTTTCAAAAGTTAAAGTTATAATAAGAGTGCTGCCAAATACTTGTATGATCTAATGGCTATTTAGAATAAAAGAATAATAGAAGAAATATGTATTTTAAACAAATTAAAAACATATTTAAAATCAACAACATTTTATTTATAAAACACTATATTTTGCACTTAAATATAGCCATATTACACATTGAATAAAACATTGAATATTGCGTAATAATGGATTAGATACCATTTTGGCACACATGTTTACATGTTTGATATTTTTATTTTTGGTGTTTCTTTAAAGATTTTTGATCGATGTTTGTGTTTTATCAGTGACGTCCAACTTATCCAAAATACGTTTACCTTAGGTTTATCTGGTCACATAGATGTGTCCATATTATTATATATGTTTTTCAAGTTTGGAAGATAAATTCAGATTAAAATCCAAAATAACCAAAGTAAAAACAGCTGTAACTCACTTTTTTGGCCATTTTCACTTAAAATGTGCATTTTTTCATACATATTCATAAACTTCAGAAATAACTCTAAATTGAATTTTGATTTAGAATTGCACTGAACGTCATCAATGAATCTTATACATTTTGATTTGCAAAATATCATTCTACTACACAAGTATTACTCCATCATTCTATTATGATTTTTTTTTTAAACTGATACCAGAAACATACATATCTCTACCACATATATAGTATACGGATATGAGGTCAGGTACATTTTCTTGTATATTTATAAGTCTGATAATTGGAAAATGCAGTTTTATTTTTTTATAATCAAGAAGCCAACGGTTTAAAAAAAATATTAGGATTTTATATAATTCCAGACTGTAAGGTATTACTTAAAAAAATATTTGGCTCAGTTGACAATAAATCTAGATATAAATCTGATACTACAAATTATAGAATAGTCAAAAAAAAAAAAAAAGAATAGTCTCAGCATTCTTTAATATCAGTTCTATAATAATTTCTTCTCATTTATGATGCAATACACCCTATAAATTCTTCATAAAAAGCAGAGCAAAAAAACATGCATTAAGGCCTTAATTTACTATTTCTGGATAAGCTTTTCAAAATATGTAACATTATTGGATAAAATGTTAAAATTATTTTGTTCAAAATAGTAAAATATCAAAATATATATAAATAAATATAGCAAAAATATCAAAATATTAACATTTTTGAATATTTTTCAATATATATATATATATATATATATATATTTATGTATTTTTTCAATACTTTCAATCATTCTAAAAGTTTATCCAAAAATATGAAATCATTTGAAAAGCTTATACAAATATCTAAAATCTGGGACAAAATGAATTAAGGGAGTAGAGAGATAATTTTTGATTATGGACTATGTGGGCTATTTAACACATTGAAAATGTCCTTAAATGGAGCAGTTCATTTTCTCCATATATATTACAGACATGCATGGGTCATAAAAAAACAAACAGGTTGCTAAAAGAACAAACAGGAAAACATATTTTTTTTAATTATTGAATATAAGAGATCACGGTTTAGTATTTTTGAGTATTAGTTCATAATGCATGAATATATCTGTTAACGCAAGTTCTCCATGCATCTTCTATTTTTCAATGCTCTGTAATGGCAGACATGTTTAAGCCTTCTGGTTGGAACCATTAGTTATTTGACTGAAGTCGATGCAGAATGTGAATTTCTGAAATCATTACTGGACACTTTGAGATGCTTGGAACATGTGTATGATGTCAGGATTTGTGAATGTGCTCTAAGATCTCAATAACCTGCATGGCCTTGCTCAGATAAGTGGTGCATCCAACAAAAAAGGACTTAAAGATGGCTGCCAAACAGACCATGGCTAAAGCAAGAGAATACACACTAAAAAGATATATTTACAAAATACACACAATATTTTATTTCAATACTAAAAATTTATTTTTCCTTTAATTACAGTACATTTTAGTATTTAACACCTCACTCTAATAATACACTCTGTAAACACTTTATGAGTTATTCAATGCATTGAATGAATGATTTTTCCTTCTACAACACATGTAATGCAACATAGACACACAAACCTACAATAAACAATAATTCATGGCAACAAGTTTCTAGTTTATAATAGGACTGGTCTACCCATAATGCTTTAGTTGTTGTAATGCTCCATCTCCCATCATCCTCACTAGGTTTTGGGCTTGTAGTACACCTCTCAATAACTTCTAAACTCTTTAGCAAACTTTGAAGTTCAGGGAGTAGAGTGTGTAATAAATTACTCTAAAGATTTTCAATACCTTAGTTTTGTAGGCACCAGATATAGATTTATATATGCATATATGTATATAATATATGTATATAATTTTTTTCTTCATGGCTAATAGTCATAATACAATAGTAAAGGTTACTCATATATCTCAAAACTATATCATTCGATTCACAGTGTTACTCAGAAGATATTACTGAATTTGGGTGCATAGGTACAAATCTCTTTAAAAATAAATAAAAAAAAAGATAATCGGAAAACTATAAGCGTTTCATTTAATGTTGCCAGTTGTAATAATCGCAGGAGACAACTAGCAAATATAGTTGATCCTATAAAATTAGAATACAGTTAACTGTCCCTATACAACCATATATTTGGCATTGCAGTAGAAAACACAGAGCAGACCTTCATACAATACAAATTCTCTTATAGACAAGAAATGTTCCTTCTTGCAGAGTCATATTCCTCAGATGGTTGACAATGCTATGGAATACATAGCTTTATATCCATTGACTTCCTGCAACTTTGACATAAATAATGTTGCTTACACATCAAGGTAAGAGTAATTGGGTTGATAGATTTATCTTATGAACATGTAGAGTTTCCACAATAAAAATCGGGTTGTATACATGCTCCCACTTAACTTCAATATGCATAATGTCATTTCATGGTGGGAGATTTTGCAATTAAATCATATTTTTACTAAAGAGAACAGCCGTATCTAAACTTCAGGAGTGCCTTATTATACTGGTGATTGTAAGAGGTTATTATTGGTCAGACCCACTTCTAGGCTTCAGGCTGCTCTTGCTTACAGTAAAAAAAAATCCCAAGCAAACAAAAGGAGAGTCCATAGAGTGCTACATTGAGTAACACTCTCACTTCAACTTCGACAATCACAGAAATGAACGAGAACCGTGATTTTTCTTAGTAGCAGCGGAATACTTCTAGATGCTCAGAAATACAGCAGAGAACTGTGATTCAACATGACATCCTGCTTCTTCGGTCTTGAGTTACTTAATCTTGTGTTTCCTTCAGATTTCCTGCAGAAAGTCTACTGGGAAAAGTCCTACCTTTCGTCCTGTCAAGACTTTGATGTAACCATTTAATTCTTCTCCTTTCTGCACCACGATCTAGCATTGGAAGACAATGAAATTAAAATAATTCTAGAAAGAGCTTCTGTCAGCTCTCTTAGAGGGAAACTAACATGAGACCTCAAAATTGAATTATATAGTACAATATATTGTAGTTTTCTATTAAATATGTGCATAATATGTGATTGCTGCACCTTTAAGATCAAGTCATCTATGTCCTGACATTTTACTTTTCTCACCTTCCTGAACAAAATCCAGTTAATGCCTCTTAAATATTTTACTTTTCCTGAATACTATCTGATTAAAAGCTTAGGTGGCAAATTTCCTTGGCTTGTTTCATGTGCAAACTGATCTGGCTTTCAGAGGAAGAAATGCACGTTTTACGTTCAAAAACTTTCTTCATAGTAGCAAAAATGGAAAATATTGACATAATTGTTTCTCCACTTTAAAACATATTGCAATCCAGAAATAATTTTAAAATAAATTATTTTGGTAATAGTAGTATAATAAATGCTAACTTTGTGAAGTTATGTACTAAACTGCAATAGGACTCACTTCATCATGCTGGCCCTATATTTCAATTAAATAGGTAAATAGAGAAAGTGAGTGTGAGGCTAGTGAGCGTTACCGCGTGGCAAACTAGGCAGCTGCGAAGGGCGCACCGGCTGGGGGGCACAATCTTTGAGTGACCGGCAGTAGTCAAGTGTACTATACAGCACTCACCCTCTTACCAGTCACTCCATGTAGCATTGCTGAGTGGACCGCAGTAGAGGATCTTCTGTATCCTCTACCTGATCTGACAGGAAATGCTAAATGAGAGCAGAGATAGCTTCCTGTCAGACCAGGTGGAGGAGACAGATGATCCTCTACAACAGTCCGCTTGGCCGCTCTACATGAAAGTAAACAGGTGGGAGGTAGAGACCATAAAAGTATGAGAAGATGGGGGGGTGAATGAACAAAGAGACACAGAGAGGGGTTAGGAGGACAAGAAGACACACAGAGGGCTATGGGGACAAAGAAACACACAGAGGGCTAGGGGGGGACAAAGAGATACACAGAGGAGCTTGGGGGACAAAGAAACACACAGAGAGGCTGAGGAAGGGTGCACAAGGGGCTTAAGAAGAAGAATAAAGAAACAGGAAAAGGGCCTGGGGTTAGAAAGAGACACACAAAGGCCTGGGAGAGAGAGACACACACAGGGACTCAGGGGGAAGAGACACAGAGGGCCTGAGCGAAGGGAAAAAGGAGACACACAGAGGGGTTTGGGAGAAATAGACAAAACAGTTGTCAATTTTTGTTTTGGGGGTGCAAGTAGCTGTTCTTGTTTAGGGCATAAAATAGTCTAGCCCTTGCTCTCTGTAACTATAATATTGGGGTTAGTAGACATCTGTACATTGTCCTGCCATATCCCAAAGCCCAAAGCTAATATTAAGGTGGCTTCTGATTCACAGGTGAGTGGTGAGTAATAGTGATAACATAAAAGTGTAAGAGCACCAGTAATCTGTTTGATAAAAAATGTTTTAATGGACCATGCAATAACAAAACTCTTCATCACATTGGACCCTCCGTAGTACAGAGCATTATTTACCAACATGGAACAGTGTATGAATGTAGATGAGATGATTTTACCTGGTCTTTTTTCAGTGTGATCTGTCCAATTTCTCTATTTCCTACAAAAGAACGGGTTACTTTGTATACTCTTTCCCCAGCTCGTACTCGGATAATGAAGTTAGCAGGCATATAGCCAGCTTTCTCGCCAATTTTGCCCTGAAGGAGAAATTATTAAATTAAAATCCTCAGAATAGATGTGGATTCATTGATAATGAACAATAAGGTTTCAATGTTACCTTGCTTCTTAATATCTGTTTCTCTGTCTCTATTACAAAAAAAAACAAAAAAACTTTCCATTCATCAAAGCAGGTGTAACTAAGGTGCTTTCTGTATTAATGTAAACCATCTGCATCAATTATTGTACATAAATCTGTACTTTTTTGCACCAAAGTATTGGTCCCTCCTAGTTGCCTTGATGTCCCTTTAAAGGACAATTGTCATAACATTTTCACATATTTTTAAAAGTTTATTAAATTCAACCAAACAATAATTGTTTTTTATGACATATATTGAAGCCATGTTGGGCAACATCCTTCTGTTATCTGCCAACTGCTGCTCAACCTAACTTGCCTGCTCCTAGAATTTGTTCTGAAAGTGCATCCACAGGCAAGTTAGGTTGAGCAGCAGTTGGTAAGACAACAGTAGAATCTGGCTCAATAGGAATGCTCAGCCAGATTCCTAAAAAGGAAGATTTTCTAAAAAACAATAAATAAATTATATAGCATTGTATATTGTGCATGCTTTACTAGACCTGAGATATTAAAAATTAAAAATAGATTATTTCCATCAATCTCAGATCTCATATTTTTTTGCACTTGACAAATAGGAATGTGCTCCAAGACCTGGAAAGTTACCCAAAATCTCAGTGGATAGGTCCCCAAGTACCAGATTACACTGTTAGATTGATACCAGCAGAAATTTGATGTCAGGACACTTACCCTCCACCACTCTTCATTGGAGTCATCAATAACTGTGATTCTATCCCCAGCTCTGCAAATAAAAAATGCAGGAAATTTAAAACCAAGATACAAAAATGGTTTACAGGTGAAGCAGAGAAGAACATTTAACCTGGCATGAAAGGTCGTACACGATAGTAATGAAGATCAAAGCCTCTCCCTTTGTGGATGATGAAATGTACATGAACAAATGAATGCAAATCTGTGACAAATTTCATTGACTAAGCATGGAATCAGTCAGTAAAAGACAAAGAGGTTGCTCATCA